TTAGAACATAATAACCATTCACCTTTACCTGGCTAATTCTTACCCATCCTTCAAAACCACTCATGGGTACCATCTTCTCTGGAAGTCTTCTTAGACGACAACCCTGCTCTCTTGAAATCTACTGTTCCAACCTAGGTTAAATACCCTTTCTATACCCACCTTTAGAACCTAGGATACATATGTAGCACTAATCACAGTAACTTCAGTAATTAAAGTGTTTATGTTTGTCTCCCTCTTTCCTTGAAATAGGAGAAAACACTTATTTGTTTTCCTACTCCAGCATCTAACATAGTACCTGACACAAAGTAGGATTTCAAAAGAAGTTGTTCAAATGACTCCAAAGTCATATTATTTCTATTCTATTATGTTACCTCTCTAGACATGTATAAAAGTTGAGAAAGTGAATTCATAAAATAGCAGATTCCCAATTCTGGCAGTATTCAAAATGAAAGAGAATGCTACCATTCCTGTTCCTTCAGTCAAGCATTTATTCACCAAATATTTATTTAGTACCTCATATATGCCATGCACTGGGAATACAAGAATGAGCAAAAACAAAGAATTTCTTCTCTAATGACACTTTAGGGTATGGAGACAAGAGGGCAAATATTGCATAAATACTCAAAGCTACTAAATAAACACTACTGACTCATCCTTGAAGTTAAGAAATACAGTTGAGATAAAGCATATAACAAAAGATCGTGTTTGGAAAGCTCAAAGACTCTGAATTAGGAATGAGATTAGGTTACCTGAAGATAGTAATTTTCAATCTTTTTTTCTGGCTGCCACATACATGGACATATCCAGAGCTATACATTCTTTCCATAAGCTAAATAATTCTGCTCCTAATGAACTTGGCATGAAGTCTCATAGGACTTGCCAGTTACATTACCCCTTCTTAAAAAACAAGCCAGAGCAGTTCTTCATGACTTGCAAGGCCAAGAACTTCAAGAGAAACCAATCTTAATTTCCTGACCACAATGGTTAGTACAGAGATGACTAGCTGAAGGCTGCCCTCTAAAGGCTCTCTATATTGGAGGATGCACACAATATCTATTTTTCCTTTTTTCCTCCTACTAGGAGATTTTACAGGTGATGACAACATGCACAGCTCAAAAACAAACAAACCCCATTAGATTTCCCTTTCTTGTAGTCAGGGATAGTTATATACTAGTTCTGACCAAAGAGATACAAATGGAAGTCACTTCTGGAAAAGCTTTTTTTCCCCCATTTTGAACTTAAATTTATTGGGGTAATATTGGTTAATAACATTATATAGGTTTCAGGAGTACAACTTTATAATACATTATCTATATATTCCATTGTATGCTCACCACTCAAAGTCTAGTCTCCTTTCGTCACCATATGTTTGATTCCCTTAATCTCTTCATCCTCCCCCCACCCTCCTTTCCCTCTGGTAACCACCACACTGTTGTCTGTGTCTATGAGTTTGTTTGTTTTGTTCGTTCGTTTGTTGTTATTTGTTTTATATCCCACATATGAGTGAAATCATATGGTTCTTGTCATTTTCCATCTAACTTATTTCACTCAGCATGATACTCTCAAGATCCATCCATGTTGTCACAAATGGCAATATTTCATCTTTTTTATAGCTGAGTAGTATTCCACTGTATATATGTACCATATCTTCTTTATCCGGTCATCAGTCTTAGGACACCAGTTGTTTCCATGTCTTGGCTATTCTGAATAATGTTGCAATGAACAAAGGGGTACATATATCATTACAAATAAATGTTTTCAAATTTTTTGAGCAGATACCTAGAAGATGGATTGCTGAGTCATATGGTAGTTTTTTATTTAATTTTGAGAAACTTACATACTGTTTTCCATAGAGGCTACACTAATTTACATTCCTACCAGCAGTGTACGAGAGTCCCTTTTTCTCCACATCCTCTCCAACACTTGTTATTTCTTGTTTTATTGATAATAGCCATTCTAACAGGTGTGAATTGGTATCTCATTGTGGTTTTGATTTTCATTTCTCTTACGGCTAGTGAAGTTTTAGCATCGTTTCATATGTCTGTTGGCCATTTGTATGTCTTCTTAGAAAAAGTGTCTGATCAGGTCCTCTGCCCATTAATTAATCAGATTGTTTGGTTTTTTTGTTGTTGTTGAATTATGTGAGTTGTTTATATATTTTGGATATTAGCCCCTTATCAGAGGTATCGTTTGCAAATATCTTCTCCCATTCAGTTGGTTGCCTTTTTGTTTTGTTGATAGTTTCTTTTGCTGTGCAGAAGTGTTTTAATTTGATGTATTCCCATTCGTTTATTTTTGCTTTTACTTCCCTGGTCTTTGGGGTCAAGTTCACAAAATCCTCTCTCTCCAAGACTAAGGTCTACACATTTAGTATCTATGTTTTCTTGTATATATTTTATTGTTTTGGGTCTTATATTCAAGTCTGTAATCCATTTTGAGTTAATTCTTATGTAAGGTGTCAGATGGCAGTCTAGTTTCATTCTTTTGCATATAGCTTTCCAATTTTCCCAACACCAAGAGGCGGGAAAGCTCTTTCAAAAGGAGGAAGACTCAGTCACATTTTTAACCCTCTTCTCTTTTTCCCTTCTTTCTGTCTAGAATGAGAACATAAAGATAAGGGTCACATTCCATAAAGGGAGGACTAGAAAGTTAGAGCGAGTCTTTAATAAAATCAAGAAATTGTTAAACCAGCACCAAATCACCTACCTCCGGACTTTTTTATTTTATAGGGAAGAAAAATACATTCCACTTTTGTTTTGTTTTCTGTTACATGAAGTTGAATCTCAGCCTAATGGATGCTGATGACAACTAATGGAACTAAGTTAAACTTCTGTCCTTAGGGGCAATGGAATAATATAATTCAAAATACTTACTTAGCTGAGGGTGAAAAGACATACCCTAATGCTGAACATCAAAAAGCAAAGTAGCTTGAAATAAGAATTAAGGGTTTAAAGTTATCTGAGCAAGTCCCTTCCCTGTAACTGGACAGAGCATTAACTAAAAAGGCATTGCTTTCCCTCCCATTCAAGATGGGATATTAGGATGCCACTGAGGACAACACATTAAATATATTTAAATATACTCTTTTTTAAATAAATAATAAAAGTTTTAAAAATGAATGAATGAATGAATGTCACAAGTTTTGGTAGTTGAATTACCGGTATGAAATTGCCAGGCCCTCTCCAAATTCTAACACTCTTATTTGGCATGCACTTAAACAGACAGACTCATTAAACATTTAAAAAAAAAAAAAGGACAAAAAAGGGTATACATAGGTTATTTAAATGGTGACAGAGGAAAATCAAGGAGAAGGAAATCCAAGGCTATATGATTTCCACAGATCCAAAATAACTCGGGACAGTCTTGTTTATGTGTGGGGTTTCCTCCAGTCTGATAGCTTTCCTTACTCTGTCCATTTCATCTGTAATTTCTGAAAAACAGCTTTTCCAGATGAGCCTTTAGGTTAGTTTTAGCTTCTCTAAGAAAGCAAATTGCTTCCTATAAATTCCATGGGAACACGAGGCAGAGTATGAGGGTCTATGTCAACAAAACTGTGTAGGAGAGTCTAAAGGATGACATAAATTCATTGAAGGACAAAGCCAATGTCATGGAGTGAGGTCTAGTAGAAAAAAATAAAATCTGACATCAGAGCTTTGAATTTAATTGAGCTAAAATACAGTATTCAGATGAGGGTGACAAAAGTAAGAAATAAACATTTCAACATGACATTTTTAAAGAATCAGAAAGATCCTCGGGCCAGGGAAACATAAGAAAAAAATAAACAAATGAGACTACATCAAACTAAAAGGTTTTGACACAGCAAAGGAAGTCATCAACAAAATGAAAAAAACCACCTATTGAATGGGAGAAGAAATTCACCAATGATACATCTGACAAGAGCTTAATATACAAAATAAAGAAGAAACTCATACAACTTAACACCAAAATAAAAAACAATCTGATTTAAAAATGGGCAGGGGACCTGAATAAACATTTCTCCAAAGAGGACATACAGATGGCCAATAGATATGTGAAAAGATGTGTTCAACATCACTAATCATCACAGAAATGCAAATTAAAACTACAATGATATATAATCTCATATCTGTCAGAATGGCTACTATCGATAAATCAACCAACAAGTGTTGGCAAGGATATGGAAACAAGGGAACCTTCGTGTACTGTTGATGGGAATGTAAATTGGTGCAGCCACTATGAAAAACAGTGTGGTGATTCCTCAATTAAAAACAGAACTATCATATGACCCAGCAATTCCATTTCTAGGCATTTATCCAAAGAAATCCAAAACACTAATTCAAAAAGATATACGGCACCAGTTGTAACAATAGTCGCAGAGATGTAAATTACAGCATAGGGAATATAGTCAACAATATTATAATAACTATGTATGGTATGAGATGGGTACTAGACTTACTGGGGTGATCAATTCATAAGGTATATGTGTCTAAGCACTATGCTGTATACCTAAAACAAATATAATACTGTCTGTCAACTGCAATAGGAAAATAAATTAAGAATGGTTTTGAAAAAGATAAAGAAATAAAAATATTTTTAAAGAATCAAAAAGTTTGTAATTACAGTATTTTCAAAGATCTTTTCCATCTCCCACTTTCCTAAAATAAACAATAAAACTAAGAGTAACATGATTTAATAATTAAAACTGCACAACTAATTTTCCACACCTTGGTTCTACAAATCTGAGAGGGTAGAGAGGACAGGAAAGTAAAGAGCCTGGGATTGCTGCAAATAAAAGAAATACTTTTTATATTACTCAATTTTACACCAAAATCACAGTGTTATTTTGGAAAACATACCCTAATAATGACAAAAATAGTAACAGCTACCACATAATAATTACTATATACCGGGCACTGTTCTAAGCACTTTATGTGTATTAAGTCATTGATTCTCATAATAGTTTTATTCCTATTAGACTGATGAAAAGAGGCACGAAGACTTTATAAAATTTGCCCTAGGTCACCCCCTGGCTATAGGCAAAGAGACACCTGATTTGTTGTGATGCTCTTATATCAGTCGGGTGCAAAGCAGACATACAGTCCTTTGTTTATCCTAGCTTGATGCCTGGGTTGGTGGCTAGAGCTATTTTATGCCTGGGGCACATAAAATCATATTGCTGGACTGTTTTCCTGGGTCTTGGGGAGAGATGAGAAACATTGGTCTTATAAGTAGATTATTAATTGAGGCTTTAGGGAATGTCATCTTAAAATGTTCTGTGGAGATACAATCATTCTGTGCTAACTTCTGGACAAAGATAATGTAAACGAGTGATTCTTAAAGAGTGAAAATGCCACCTAGTATGGTTTTCATGGCATTAGTGCAATAGGATATGGATATATGTTATTCTACACATAAAACTGATTGCTATGAGATCAAGTATAAGTGAGTCACAATTGGCTTTTAGAAAGTTAGGGGGTCTGGTATGGTAAGAGGTCATATTATTTCATAGGGCTGTTATGGCGAAGCAATATATTCTTAGGAGCAAAACTGAGTACAAATTCTGAGTCTCTGCCACTTAACTGGCAGTATGATCTTAGATTCACTTAATTGGCCTCTTTCTCACCTGAAAAGAAAGTTTTAGTAATAGTACATGTCTGAGCTGTTCAAAAGAAGAAATACATGAGAGGCATTTAAAAATGGGGCCTGGCACAGTTATAGCTAATATATGAGCACTTAAAAAAATTTTTTTTTTTTGCCCAAGATCACAAGTTTGCTAAGTGGAGAAGCCAAAATTAAAATAAGCAGTCTGATTCTGGAGTCCATGCTCTTAATTAATCAAATTGGTTAATATCTTAAAGTAATTTGGAGAGTCAAACTGGACAGAACTGAAATGATTTCTACTTTCTCAGTATCCTGTCAACGTACTGCTCTCTACTAGTCACCCAAATTTGAATCTCTGAGGTAACCTTTCACCTCTCAGTGCATTCCATATTGAATTAGTCAACCAACCAAACTCTGCCCATTAAATACTCCATTACCACTCCTATTGTCATCATCCTGGTAATCACACAGCCAAAAAATTGCATCAGCTGTTCAAGAAGCCAATAGCTCACGCCAACCTTATTAATAAAACATCTTTTTCATATAAACAGCAGGTCTCTTATACCAGTTGTATGGAAATAAATATAATTAAATATTTTACATTTCCCATAAAATTTCTCCTTATTAATTTTAGTCCATTATTCCAGTCTATGTATTAACTTTCCCTTCCAGATATATAGCAAACACAAACTAAGCAAAACTTTAAACTAAAAATGTATCAATCACATTCCCTATTCAAACGACATACAAAGGCTTTAAAGTTTTAGTACTAGAAATAAAATCTACAGGAAAAGAGAGTAGCTGGATCAAACTGAGTTTTTAACCTTTTAGTTACACTGGGAGTGGGGGTTGGAGGTAGAGTGCTCTCCATTCAATTACCAAAATCATGACTTATATGACCTTCAAGGGAGCACAGTGCTTCCTTTAATCCATTTTGGTTCCAATGAGTATCAGTGAGACAGTTTGGAGACTTTTAAAGGTCTTTATCAAATAGAACCAAATAGAAAAAGAGGCCAAGAAATACAAATTGGCAGTTACAAACAGTCACAAAAATGTAAAGTACAGCATAGGGAATATGCTCAATAACATTGTAGTAACTATGTATGTTGTCAAGGGGGTACTAGACTTATCAGGGGATCACTTCATAAGTTACATAATGTCTAATCACTCTGCTGACAACTGAAACTAATATAATACTGAATATCAACGGTAATTGAAAAATTTTTAAATTTTTTAAATAAATAAAAAGAAGCTTAAAAACAGTCCATAGCATTCAGTAAATCACAGTGCTCTCCAATCTCTTTCACTTCCTGCAACACAGACGATGTTATTTACACAGTATACCATGGTAAATCACAAGATTGCTCACAGTCAGTGGTCTCAGGATCCCTACACACTGATGGCCCAGCTGGGCATTACTTGACAAGTTCCAAACTCAGGAACTACAATTTATTTGTTCTCAGCATTCATTAGTTCTAATCATTTCCGAACCAGAGCTGTCCAAAGCCCTGGAACTACTCCGAAGGCCCCTCATGGAGATTCCTTGCTTCCCAGTTCCCTTTGTGCCAGGACGTGGGAAGTGCTGTCTCCTCTTCTTAAGAGGCAAAAAGAAAGAATAGTTCATTCTGACCTATACTTGACCCCTCCTGTTTTGTTTGTTTTAAATCTGGAAGAAATGACTCCTAGCTGCTTGGTAATTAACTGACAATATGACTGACTTCAGTCAATTAGTGTACTCTTATCTCCATATATGAGGAGTAGCTACCTGAACCAAAAAGCTAAGGTGATCTGATATTATAAAATACATTATTAGCATTTGAAACTTGCCACAGATATTAATCTAGTATGACATAAATTAGATTAAGTTCATATTATCCGATGCATTGTAATGTTTTCATCTCCTGTGGCACTGTAGCTAACACCTCTAAAAATGACTTTGAGAGCAGTAGCAAGGGCTCGTGGCTCCACTAAGAATAGCTGGCTCTAGTCTCTAGTCTCCAATACGATCTGGGCCAAAGATAGTCAAAAATAATGTCCAAAGATTTGCCAGTTAGAATTTAAAAAGCAAAAGACAACTTAAGATTCTAAACATACACTGATACAGTATAACATCAAATATTACATGGAACCATGTCCCCATCTTAGTCACTTCAACTTACGTAAGTGTCTGAAATCTTACTTAGTATAATGTAATTAAAGAGGGTGGTAAGAGTCCATATTCTGCCCTGCATATATTCTAGAAATTCCAATTTTATTAGGTTAAGAGTCCTATATATGTAATTTATGACACATCCAAATATTGTAGAACCTCTAACTTTTGAAAAAATAATTTATATATGTATATATTTTAATATAATTTACAAACAAGCCCTTTCGATGGGGAAAAAAAAAAAACTAGAATAGTAACCTGAATAGGTCAGGTTAAAACTTTTATAAACTTGTGGAAAAGAACAAAACCATTGAAGATAATGTGCATAAGACTCTGATGGTGAACATATATATAAGAGGAAGTCCACCACCACTATAAAAATACAACTAAACTGAATATGAGCTTTAGCCACATCTGTCTTATTTACCACTGTATTGCCAGCACTAACACACTGTCCAGTACCTAGCAAGCTCTAAGAAAATACTTAAGGATGAATCACTGGGTGTATTTAATAGAAGCTAAAGCTACATGACCAGTTGGGAAGAGTATTATATACAAGCTGATTTAATTGTCAAAATGAGGGGTAGAATTTGACCAGAAAGCCTTTAAGGTTCCTTCAAACCCTAAAATTCCTTTAAATTTTCATCACTACCCAATGAACATTTTAAATGAGCGTCAACTCTATTACAGGAAGGGCCTTTAGAGAAATGTCTACCAATAACTAGAGGTTGCATCATAACCTACCAGTCTTTTTATATAAATCTTTGTCAAGCAAGGAAAAAAAAAAGAATGAAAGAGAATCAGTAAACATTAGTGATCTTAAAGGTTAAATCAACCTTATTTATATATTTCCATATTTAGAAACTAAACAATTATATTAATCTAAAAAATGTATTAAAAAATAAACCTTTAAATGTTGTATTATGTATGCTAATAAATAATTAGGGGGAAAAAATGCCCCTATTATCAAAAGTGCATGTAATCATTTTTTCTTTATAAATCATTTTAAATTCTCTATCAGTTAAGCAATTACTTGGTTATGGGATTGATTTTTAAATAAACAGGATTTTTATATTTGTACTTACCTAGCTTTAATGATAAATCACAAATATGTAACTACATCTCTTTACCCTTTTCTTTGTCCTTGTATAGAATACAAATATTTTTTAAAATATTGTATCATATACAATATTACAGAAAATTATAATTGCAGTCATGTATAACTCACATTTTTGAATAATTCTTAACTACTTTAGGTCAAGAAAATAATACCTGTTGCTTTTCATATTAAATACATTTTCTTTAATAGTTTGCTAAGGTTAAAAGTATATAGTTAGAATTTGGTAATATCAAAGATATGCCAAATTCTAAAAGCTATTTAACGTAGCTCATTTGCTTGTCTTTAGATTATTTGGCAGGCAGAAATGGGTAAATGATTGCCTTGATTATTTATAAACTAATAGGCCATCAATTGTTCCTGTCACTGCTTTATTATTTTTTAATAGTACTTACCAGTTCTCATGTACTATATAATTTACTTACTCATTATAGTTAGTGCCAGTCTCTCTTCACTAGAAATTTAAGGTCTAAGACAGAGATTTTACCTGGTCCACTGCCATATCTTCAATGCCCATCCCAGTGTTTGACACATAGTAAACACTCAATAAATATCTGTTAAATAAATTAACTGGCATTAAGTCATAGTTAAATTTTCAAAATGGCTATAAATTTTAAAGTAAAAATCTGGAAAAATGAGCAAACTACAAAAAAAAGTTGTGTTTCTCCTTTAAGTACTCAGAAGCCAGTTTTTTAATGATCTTTTTTTTTTTAATCACCAATTATCTATAAGTTATTAGTTTCTAGACTCCACCCCTGTCCCATTTTCATGTTTAGGAAACAATCCTTTGCTCTTAGTAATAGTGTCACCTCATTCTGCTTTAAGTTGACATTGTCACCAACAGGTAACAGGCTGTTCTGTGAGATAAAATGATACATATTACCTAGGTAGAACAATATTATATAAGTAAATATTCATGAAAAATTGAAAAGCATTTCCAGAAATTTTAAAGAGGCCACATTCAGTTTAAAAGTTAATGGAATGTGAGGGTGGCTCCACAGTATAGTGGTTGGCATGTCTGCTTTACACGCAGAAGGTCCTGGGTTCGTGCCCCAGGTGGAGCCATAGACCATAACCCAGGTGTGCCAGGCCCCGGGTGTGCCAGGCCCCGGGTGTGCCAGGCCCCAGGTGAGACAGGCCCCAGGTGAGACAGGCCCCAGGTGAGACAGGCCCCGGGTGCACACGTGAGCAAGTGGGAAGAGATGACCCGCCTTTAGAGATCCAGTTCTTAAGGGGAAACAGCAACATTCATAGGTCAGGGGTGGAAGTGGGGGGAGGGAGGAATGAAAGAGGGGGAAA